TCTGCGTGTCAATAATGAAAACCGGTGTTGTTTCAACGCTGCGTGTTTATAATAAATTCACATGTAATTTACACGCAGCGTGTCTGCAAGACCCAGTTTTATTATTTACACGCAGAAATTTTTTGAGAAAAAGACGAAGTCTCGAACCCGGGCCAAAAAATTCCCGTACAAGCACGGACCCACTCATCCACCAAGCCGCCATGCCGGACTCAGTCGCCGGTCGGAAATCTTTTTACAATCCTGCGTGCCAATAATTTTTTGGTGTCTTGGAGACACGCAGCGTTTAAATAAAAGCCAAAATATTATTTGCACGCAGCAAAACTTTTCCTGCGTGTAAATAATAAAACTCGAATTGCATACACGCTGCGTGTAAATAACTTGTGAATTTATTATAAACACGCAGCGTTGAAACAACACCGGTTTTCATTATTGAAACGCAGAAATTTTTTGAGAAGAAGGCAAGTCTCGAACCCGGGCCAAAAAATTCCCGCGCAAGCACGGACCCACTCACCCACCAAGCTGCCATGCCGGACTCAGTCGCCGGTCGGAAGACTTTTTACAATCCTGCGTGCCAATAATTTTTTGGTGCCTTGGAGACACGCAGCGTTTAAATAAAAGCCAAAATATTATTTGCACGCAGGAACATTTTGTCCCACATGGCCACCGTCGGTGGACGTCTAAGGGGAAAAATCCTGCGTGTCAATAATTTTTTTTCTGTTATGTGCACGCTGCGTGTACATAAAGTCCAATTTTATTATTTAAACGCTGCGTGTATATAATATTAGTCTTCATGAAATTGGCTTGATGCGAAAAATTACAATGGTTCATAAAAACGGCTGTCATTTCCAAACGGCTTGGAATTTCAGAAAAAACGAAACATCCCCTTAAAGAGGAAGGTCTAAGCTACATTATGCAATAAAAAACCAGGTTTCGCCTTTTTGGCGATTTTCGGCCATTTTTTCACCCACACCTCACCTTAAAGAAAAATTGAAAATGGACTGATTTACTAAAATCGTTGCTGTTTCAGGAGTCTTTGACCGATTTCCAAATGCAAAACGGCGATCTTTTCGGAAATGTGCGGTTTACTAGATGATGAACATAACATGACGATCCAACGCATTGCCTTTTTTCCAGGGGCGTACAATCCCGTTTAAGCCCCTAAATCTTAGGTGTTCCTGCGTTTCGAAGGTGTTTAAATTAGGCCTGTGCGATTACTAAAAATAATCGTAATTGATCAATTACCGAAATAATCGAAATTTTACTCAATTCGATGATTCAAAATCGAAAATTGGAATGTCGATCGATTAATTGGATTCAGTCGATTAGTTGATTTGTTTTCTAGTGTCAATTTGAAAAACTTAAGAGATTTTTTGATGGAAGTGACAAAGACATTACAAAATTGTGCACTTAAAAGCTGTACAGATAGCAAAAATGCATAAAATCCATGTTTCAGCGACAAACAGGATCCTTCTGATAAACTCGAAAAGGGTAAGAAATCGGTATTAATCGATGATCAATTAATTGAATCTGTGTCGATTCACATTAATCGAATCGGGTCTTTGGAATTCATTGACAATTAAATTAATAATCGACAATTATAGTCAATTATTCGATTAATCGCACAGGCCTAGTTTAAATCGTCCGATCGGATTGCTTGGGGCACTATTCGACGCGCCTGATCAAAACCTTTCAAAAAGTGCCTCGAGCGTTTAAATCAGTTTGGTTTGCTACTGTACAGGAGCAAAAAACTACTGAAATTGCCCGGAAAAGTGCACTTTTGTGATACAAAACATCTTGTTTGGCATCGGGTCGGATTTCTTGTGGTGCCATTTGACAGGCCTGGACACTTACTTTCGACTTCCATTCAGGCGTTCTTTTCCGGTGGGTTGCCCATCTTACAGACGAGTTTTACGACATTCGACATTTTTTGCTTGTAGGGTCGGCAACCCACCGGATGCGGACATCTGCGAGGGTTATCAAAAGTTTTCGACCAGGTGCGTGAATTAGCACGACAAAAAACCCGACCCGATGCCACACAAGATAAATTGTATCACAAAAGTGCACTTTTCCGGCGAATTCAGTTGTTTTTTTGATCCTGTACAGAAGGCAACCCAACCGATTTCGACGCCTCACAGTGGGCCAGGAAGCCTGTTTAGGCGGACATAATTCCATTTTTTCAACTCTCGAATCTTCAAGTTTTTTTTCGTGATAACTCTTCCCAATACTCCAAGGAACCAGGATTGGACGGAATTTCAACACAGGGACACGTTTTAGCCAACATACAGGTGGTCAAACACGCACCAAACGATTTGCGCTACTTTGGTGCAGTAAATATGCATGATTTCAAACGCAAAAAACACTTATTAATTTTTGTCCAGCATACTTTTTATTGACACCACGTAAAAGGGCGTTTCTTTACGAAAATTTACATACATTTACATTTGACTTTGGACGATTTTTGTGGTGTCCAGCTTTATTTTTACTACGCTTTGACAAAATTGTCAAAATTAAATCTTTGCAGAGGCGGCACTTTTTTGTTTAACGTTGTTTAACGGCCTCCTTCAGTCCTTGCGGAAGCCAACATGCCAAGGAACAAAACCCAAAAGAATTTAGCTGCACCTACTTGCACCTTTGAGTTGTAGGGTCTCCTAAACATCGACGAAAATGCGAAAAACAGCCCCGCGCAGCGCACCGCTTCCCGGCGCAACGGAGGCGCCGCTGCATAGTAGTTGCTTGTAATGATTAGAGTTGTGCATGTCAGAGTTTGTCTTCAACGCGAGTATGCTTGTTTAGGTTTTTGCGTTGTTTAATTCATGAAAACGTAGAAAAGGTGTCAGACCATGTCTTGGCGTAACAGGTCCCTTTCTATCAGATGATGTCAAATTTCACACTGGGGGTCTGATATTGTCTAAAACGGATTCCTCGTCCCTCAAAACCCCCCGACTACGAAGTTACACGCCAAAATAACGATTGGTACGGCCTAGGAGAATTATGTCCGCCTAAACCGGCTTCGTGGCCCACTGTGCGCCTGCGACATGTTTCGAAAGTTTTTGATCAGACGCGTCGAATGGTGCCCCAAGCAATCCGATCGGACGACTCAAACACCTTCGTAAACGACGTGCGTGAAGGTGGCCACCAAATTGGTGGCCACCATAGCCACCAAAGTGTGAAGGTGCCCGCCAAAGACAACTTTTGAACCGTTCGTCGTAGGAAGCCCAGACAAGTCTCAAAACAAAGGGCTCGTCAAGCAGAACAATATTTTATACTCGTATGCATTTTAACACCCACGGATTGTTCCAAAGGTACGCCCAAAACACTAAAAAAATGGTGCCGCAGTGCGATCGACCAACTTTGCGGGTCTGCACCTCTAGAACCGTGAGTCGTAGAAAGCCCATCTAGGGCTTAAAAGAAAGGGCTCAACACGCAGATCAAGACATGATACTCGTTTGCATTTTAACACCCACGGATTGTCCCAAAGGTACGCGTGAAACAGTGAAAAAACGCAAATGCTGCAGTGCGATCGACCAAGTTTGCGGGTCCGCAGCTCTCGAACCGTGCGTCGTAGAAAGCCCATCCAGTGCTCAAAAAAAAGGGCTCAACATACAGAACACGATTTATTACTCGTTTGCATTTTAACACCCACGGATTGTCCCATAGGTACGCGGAAAGTACTAAAACAACGCTAATGGTGCAGTGGAATCGACCAAGTTTGCGGGTCCGCACCTCTGGAACCGGGCGTCGTAGAAAGCCCATCCAAGGCACAAAAGAAAGGGCTCAACATGCAGAACAAGATTTAATACTCGTTGGCATTTTAACACCCACGGATTGTCCTATAGGTACGCGCGAAACAGTGAAAAAACGCAAATGCTGCAGTGCGATCGACCAAGTTTGCGGGTCCGCAGCTGTCGACCCGTGCGTCGTAGAAAG